ACCTAGTAGCGATGGCCTCCAACCTAGTAGCGATGGCCTCCATCCTAGTATGGCCTCCATCCTAGCAGCGATGGCCTTAGCAGCGACGGCCTCAAACCTAGTAGCGATGGCCTCCATCCTAGCTCCAACAACCTAGTAGCGATGGCCTCCATCCTAGCAGCGATGGCCTCCAGCCTAGTAGCGATGCCCTCCATTCTAGTAGCGATGGTCTCCATCCCAGTAGCGATGGCCTCAGTCCTAGCAGCGGTGCCTGCAACCTAGTAGCGATGATCTCCATCCTAGTAGCAATGGCCTCCATCCTAGCAGCGATGGCCTCCAACCTAGTAGCGATGGCCTCCAACCTAGTACTGAGTACTGGTGGCCTCCATCCTAGCAGCGATGGCCTCCAATCTAGTAGCGATGGCCTCCAACCTAGTAGCGATGGCCTCCATTCTAGCAGCGATGGCCTCCAACCTATATAGTAGCGATGGCCTCCAACCTAGTACTGGTGGCCTCCATCCTAGCTGCGATGGCCTCCAACCTAGTAGCGATGGCCTCCAACCTAGTAGCGATGGCCTCCATCCTAGCAGCGACGGCCTCCAACCTAGTAGCGATGGCCTCCATCCTAGCTCCAACCTAAGAGCGATGGCCTCCAACCTAAGAGCCATGGCCTCCAACCTCAGAGCGATGGCGATGGCCTCCAACCTAAGAGCGATGGCCTCCATCCTAGCAGCGATGGCCTCCAAAAAGGGGTTTGCCTTTCTGAGCCCTTTCAGTTACTAAGCATGCTAAGCATGCTGAGCATGCCACATGGCGTTTGCTGAAATGCTGCCCATACCTCGCATGGTGCTGCTGCCCTAGTTGAATAATGATGAATGGCTAGCTTCTTCAATGCAACATGATTTGCGTATTCAAGGTACATTCAAGGTCAACCCTTTTGATTCAGTGTTCTTCAATGAGCAATGTGGGGCACTGTTCAATGATCTCTTGCATTCTTGCGGATGAATGGCATTGCCTAATCATCTCCTGGAGACATTCCCACCAATTCCCATCCGTGGCAAGATCTCCATTGTTCCACAAAAATAGATACAGTATCAGTGTCACAACTTGCATTTTGTAACCACCACTGTCGTCAATTGTGAGCGTTTTTGACGCTTGTCTGCTTGTCGGCGGGTCTCTTGGAAACTTAAAGCCAACGGCGAACAGGAAACCTCCTTAGATATTATATTAACAACTTGTCATATGTGTTTTTGCAATTGTCACGTGCACATGATCTTCTTTGCAAAGCTAGATGTTACATGTTGGTGTCCTCGATGTTCAGCTTGGACACAGCCGAGTCGGTTTCCTCATACTGCTGAAAAAAATAGCTTAAAAAACATACTGATCAATCAATCTTTTGGGAAGTCATTGGTCAGTGTTTGGTGCGGCGCTGAATGACTGAAGGTTATTGTATTCACTCATCAGCGATGTCGCTGGGCTTCGGACCGTTTGCCTCGATCTTTGGTTACCATTCGATGAAGCAAATTGGCTCCTCGCAAATGACCCACTTGAGGCCTTCTTGACCACACAATGAGTACAGCCCATCCTGCCACCCATCGAGGTGTTGTTGTAGTCAAAGCCACTATACCTTCAGGTAAATATCTCGAACAGCCCTATGCTCAAAAGGAGGCGAAGGTTCTCCGCGTTCTTTCCGAACATGAGTCTTGGCTTCCAGGCATGTTATCACCACCATACCAGCCTGATGCCCAGGATAGGCGTATCACTCAGCAACCATCCACTAATTGTCTGAGGCAGGTTCTGTAGTCCCAAACTGCTTCCTGAAAACAATGAAGGACAGCTCTGTTGTCCCATTGTGGTTTCAGTGCAAATCTTAGTCCTCCAACCTAATAGCGATGGCCTCCAACCTAATCGCGATGGCCTCC